TGCAGCCCCGAGCGGAGAGTGCTGGGGGGAGCACTGCGGGCTCAGGAATGTGGAGGAGGTGATGGTGCTTTGCCCCGCAGGCTCCAAGCAGTGGCTATTTACAATGTGAGGCAGCTGCGGCACCCCACAGTTACTTAACTTATCCGAGCTGCTGGCCTGGCCTTTCAAGGCAGTTTGTTTGGATGCAAATGGGCAGCTGGACACTGTGTTTTCTTGCTTGATGGGGACACCAAAGAAATGCTGAGTGGGTTGCTGCTTCTCCTCAAGGCCATTGCTTCTCTTCCGCTTCTGGAGTTGCATCCGTAGCTCCTCCACCTGCCTCTGCTCTTGCTGCAGTTTCCACGTTAGTTCGTTGATGACCTTCTGCTTCTCTACCAGCATCTTGTCTTTCTCTGTGTCAATCCCTTCCAGCTCCAGCTGGATGCTCCCTCCATTCATGCTACTCATGAGGCTTTCTTCAGCACTACCATGAACTGGAGATGGCTGGAGACCGAACTGTGGAGAAGACATGGGCCCATCATTGAACGTGTCTGGCAAAGAGCCGCTCACAGAGAGGTCAGAGGAAGCTGGAGAGATGGGCGGAGTGGAGCTGGTGCTGCCAAAGTGGTAGAAGCCGTTCGATAACATGCTGGTGGAGGACTGCGACTGGTAACTCGACAGGGTGCTTGTCGGAGTTACTGGGAAGGTGACGGTGGTGATCTCACTGAAGTTTGGCACCGTGTTGCTGCCACACTCCTGGAAGGGCCGCAGCCGTTCCATCAGTGCTGTTTTGGTACCAGACACAGGCAAGCCTCGTATTCGGAGCTGCTGTCTCAGTTCCGACACCTAGAAGGAAAGTCGCCATTGATCAGTCCCAACGGCAGATAAGCCCGTTAGAAACACAACATTTCTAAGAAGTCTCAGATCACAGGCTCCCAGCTTCCTGCTTTAAATCTCTGACCCCCTAGGTGCTCACCTTCTCATCTGCAGTCACAAGTGTCACCACGCACAGCCCTGACCACCGCATGTCCTGCAGGATCGTGACCTTTCCTGACCTTCTTTCTTTCCTCTAGGAACCATGGCTGCTCTCACTGAAGCAGCAGTGGTCCTTGGGCTATGGAGGTAACCCAAGATTCCCCTCCTAGCAGTAGGTTCCTACATGAGCAGAGGACTTTCACACTAACCAGGAACTAGTTAATGGCATCCTTTAGCTTAGAGAATGTGACCACATATCTTGGAGCCAGACACTCTGTATTCAAGCATCTGCATACGGTTGAAGCATCTGAGCTGTGGCACCACCGTGGACAAACTCGTGTTGTTTCTACCTCATCTTATTTTTTTTCTCTAATAGTGAGCATTGCCCCCAGGTCTGTGCTCCTAAAAGGACTTGTCCTTCCCATGGCTGAGGCTCCATTAGCAGAGTATAAAAGAACTGTTGATGTGAGTGATTCTCCCTTACGCCCTGCCTACATGAGAGATGTAGGTACTGTTCAAAGCAGTGCTCGGAGCTGTAAGTCTCTGGGAGATATCTCCTTGTGCCAAGAGCTGAGCTGGCCTTGTTGCAATTACAACCGAGAACCTGAGTCACTAAGTGGAGGCCATGCTGACCTGCTAGCAGCATCCATGGTGTCCATCCACTACGAAACCACAGAAGATATGGAGCCATGAGCTACAGGAGCAGCAGCACAGATCATCCTTTGGTTCTTGGCCTGATGGCCTGGCCTGCAGCCATCACACGTTATACCTGAGGTTTGCTGACAGATTCTTTGGAGCAATGTGCCCACATGTCACCTGCAGAGCAGCAAACCCATGTACCATTGCAGTGAACGATTTCTGCCCCAGCGTGGTGTACTCCTGGGTTTGCTCACAGCGTGGTGGTACTGCAGGGCCAGCTCAGCCTGTGGCACTACACTGCCCGCTTCAGGGGTAGCAAAGCACATTCAGGCTATGAGATTCTGCTCCTGCGGTCACAAAGTTTGCACTCACTTTCAGATCATCCAGGTTAGACGGCAGTGGGCCTGGCTTGATAGATGAGACACAAGTCTGGCCTGAAAAGGTGGTTTTCACAGGAGAAAGAGGGGTGGTGTTGACAGAAGCTGATGAAGAATTTGAACTTTTGGCCATTTGCTCATTTGATTGCCTGAAATAACAAAGGAGATTTGGGGTAACTTGTCTGCCCCCTGTGGTCTTGGTGCCCAGCGTACCATCTCTTTGCTCGCTTGGGGCTGCTATCTCCTGCACGAGACCTGAAGGACTGCCAACCCCAAGGAAAGCCAGGCTGGGTTGTAAGGAGACTGCTGGTGACCTACCAGCGGGTCACAGGTGCCCCAGCCAGCGCACAAAGCCTGAATGGCTTTGCAGGAGACTGCTGTTCCCAAGCTTTTCTGTTTCACTTGCATGCATCCATCCCCCTTGCGCTGGTGCAAATGGGTACAGCAGGGCAAGTTTGGGGAGACAGGACTAAACCCTGCTACTGGCACGTTGCCACTCACTTTAGCTGGCCTTGGTGCATCCCTGGGTAGCTGAAGTGCTGCTGCTGCTGCTGTTGCTGCTGCTGCTGCTGCTGGCTGAGGATCTGGAGCTGCAGAAAGAGCTGCTGCTGCTGGAGGAGCCTGGCATATGCAGAATCCATGGGTGGAGGGGACTTCTCCGCCTTCTGGTCCGGAGGGATGTACTGGTGATACTTCAGCTTCTTCACCTTGGGCTTGGTGTCCTTGGGCTTCTTGTGACGGTTCTTGCTATCATTGGATGATTTGGACTGTCGGTACAAGAAGGAGAGGGGTTAGTTGGGAGATTAGGAATTAACTGCCACCCTGTAGCAACTCAGAGGCCTGAGACAGAGCAAGGGCAGTTTCCGCCAGCCCACGATACTGCAGCTCCCGTTGCTGCTGAGCCTGTGTGTGGGGTTCTCCCAGGACCAGCTGTGCTGGGGAGCACACGAGACGGAGAATGACTCTGGAAGGTATTTCGGTGTTGCCGTGTATCCTCTTTGCTCCCCAGGGGGGTGTTCCCGGGGCAGGACCTGAGCAATCGCCTCTTGCAAGGTGCAGTGCTACACCTTGTACCCCGACAAAACGAACCGTACTGCAGTTCTTGATGGCGAGGTTTGTCTCCCTGCCTTGTTCCGAGCCTTGCAGGCCAACCCCCCAGACCTCCCGCACGGGTGGGGTGCAGCAGGTGGCCCCCCGTGCCCCGAGCTCTTTCCTCTCCTGGGTGCAGGCGTTACCTTGGCGGCGGAG